AAATCATTGTATGATTGTTAGATTAAAAAAAAAAAAAAAAAAGTTGTGTGTGGGGTTTTACAGGCAGAACCTTTGGGGTATTGCAAACATGAGTAGCAGTCTGTTATGTAGATAGTGCCCTCTTGTGGTGAGGAAATATAGAAACATGGGCCTCTGCTGAAGCTATAATTTAGTCACAAAACCTCTGTGGAAGAGAAGCTTCTTCCTACCTGTTAAATATTTTGTGTGTGCACTGGTAGTCCATTTAAGGGCACTAGAAAATATGTGCTCCTTGAGGAATGCTTTTTCTACAGTGTATGCTATAAACAACAAGAAGCAAAGTGCAGTCTTGACGAATTAAGAGGAAAAAAGTCTATGATTATGGTCTATAACTAAACACTACACAACCTGCTTGAAACTTTACCAACTTTACTTGCATAAAAACCATTTCCAGACTCTTCTTTTGATCTATAATTGGATTATTTATATTTTAAATGAAGTTTTATTTATATTAGTTTATTTAAATGTATTTTTAATTTCATTTAGAAGGCTCTGCAGCAAAGATATGCATTTTAGGTGTAAGTTTGTTCTATAAAAACACCTTCTTTATACAGAGATGATTCGCACAGCCACCCCCTTCCCCCTGGTCAGCCTCTTCTTCATGTTCATCGGCTTTGTGCTCAGTAACATCGGACACATTCGCCCGCACCGCACCGTACTGGCCTTCGCTTCTGGAATCTTCTTCATCCTCTCAGGTACTGTTTGCTTTTCTATTACTTGGTCTTCTCCATATTGTTCTCCTGCACCACTCTGTCCTTCTGTTTCTCTGTCAGGCCTTTCTCTGGTGGTGGGTCTCGTTCTTTACATCTCCAGCATCAGTGACGAGATGTTGAATAGAAGTAAAAGTAATGAGGCCTTTTTCAGCTACAAATACGGCTGGTCCTTTGCCTTTGCTGCTGTCTCCTTCCTGCTGACAGAGGTACATGTCTGCACTATTACTCTGCTCTTTGCCTTTTCTAGATGATTTTCCATTGATTGGAATCAAAAATGTTCTGAGCAAAGCTCTACAGTGAATCCATAGCAGGATTATTTAATTTCTTGGCTGTTCCATGGTTTAAGCTGTATAATGGAGCTAAGAGGTGAAAAAATAAACGAAGCTTAAGTCATAATAGATTTCAGGGGTGGCACCACTACTCCAAAAGAGGTGGGGCAAAATTTGTGATCTAACTGACTAAAGTCTGACTTAGACTAGCCAATTAAAACAATTGTACTATTCATATTTATATAATTTCAAGCAAAAAAAAAAGTTACTGAGGTGCTTCAGAGACAGGCAAATGTAAACAGATAGAAAACCATTGCTAGCTGCTGCTTAAACTGATGCTACATGCATACCTGTCTTTTTCCTGGGAATTCAGATCTTGGGATGCTGGTCTATCATCATCTTTTTTCTATGATCAATTTTCTCTCCCTAAAAAAAACAAATAAGATGGACAGTGTGACCTAACTGACTAAAGACTGATCTGTCATCATCTTTTTGTCTGAGAGAAGAGGTACATCTGTCATTTGTCTATAAAACATACAGACTAACTATGCATTTTGCTATGTATTTGGCGCCAGGGTCTGATTATAATACAATAACAGGGCACAACACACCTTTATTGAACATCAGAGTAGTTTGTTTTGGCCCACACACTTCATTTTGCAGTTTACTTCTCCGGCAGCTAATAACAGCAAAAAAGACATGTTCATGTTCCGCAATAGGCTGTTTGTTTTCCAGCAAGCCTTACTTTATTTGAAGAATGTCATTTGAGGAATGTTCCTGTAATCGATTCAGAATACAGAATATGTGTGCATATGAAACATTAGTGATACTGATTCAACACACGATTATTAAGTGCCAGTGAGGGCCAAAGCGCAATAAACTCTTTATAGCTCATAGGAGATCTCCTTTAGGAGAAGTGCCCCACCCCCAGCTGAAGTGGAATTTTTGATTGGTTTTTCAAGAGAGTCAGACCTGTCTGTTATTGCCTGAAGTACTGGGTCACCGCCCCAGTAGTTTGAAAAGTGCCAGGTCAAATGCCAGCTCGCCCCCATTGCTCCAGTGGCCCTAATAGATTTAGAAAATAGCTGGTGCTATACTATTGTCATTTATGTACTGTGGACTCATTGATTCTGATATTTGATGGTAATTTCTAATGTCATTGGCTTAAGTCAGGGTTGCTCAGACTTTTTGCAGCCAGAGACCCTTACAGTGTAGAATAAAACCCACATATGATCTTAGAATTGATTTATTTTATGAATGAATCTGACATAAAATATTAGGGATCTATGAACTATGCATCATATTAATTGCTTTAGTGGAATTGTTAGAGGTTTTTATTCCAGAATTTTATACCCACAGAACCCAAACCATTTACAATGTGTTGAAAAGACTAACTGTGAAGTTTTAACTTCTATATAGACTATATGGCCAAAAGTATGCGGACACCTGACCATCACACCCATGCATGCCCATTCCAAAACCATGTGCATTAACACGGAGTTGGTGTTATAGCAGCCTCCACTCTTCTGGGAAGGCGTTCCACTGGATTTTGCAATGTGGCTGTGGGGATTTTTGCTCATTCAGCTGTAAGAGCATTAGGGAAGTTGGCAACTTATGTCAAGTGAGAAGGCCTGACATTTTTGACTTTATAGCATATACTTAAAAATAGATTTTAAAATAGATTTTTAATCACACTATCCGGCCTCACCCATAACAGGATGGGTTCCCTTTTGAGTTTGGTTCCTTCTCAAGGTCTCGTCCTCATGTCATCACAGGGAGATTGTCCTTGCCACTGTCACCTCTGACTTGCTCATCAGGGATCTTATTCTGTGAATTCTGTGAAGCTGCATTGTGACAATATCTGTTGCTAAAAGGACTATACAAATAAAACTCAATCAAATTAAATAATTATAAAACCTTTCAGCTCAAGTAGCCAGTCAGTTAGGCTTAGAACTAAAATTATGTGATATAACTATAAGCTAATTATCTATAATTTAACGCTTTAATATGATAGTTTAATACTATAATTTAATACTGACATTAAATTAGATTTTAAGTTCCCTCTGCAAAAGTAAAAGAAAATAACAGGGTAAAAATAGGAACTGGGGTATGATTATACTGTAAAAGAAACCTGTTCAACTTGTTTGTGCTTTTCTGTTCAGAGTGCTGGCGTCATGTCGGTCTACCTGTTCACTAAGCGCTACACAGCTGAGGAGCTGTACAGGCCACATACAAGCTTCTACCGGCCGCGTCTCAGCAACTGCTCCGAGCACTCGACTCAGTTCCTGCAGCGCCGACACAGTCCCTCAGACATCTCCAGTGAGGCCTCACTCCAAATGAACAGCAGCTACCCAGCCCTGCTCAAGAGCCCTGAGTATGAACAAGTCTCCTCCTCACTCTGCTAAACGTAGACAGATGGACGGATGTGAAGGTGGACAGATAGACAGGGAGATAAATGGCTAGGTGGGTGGGGGGATGGAAGTCATTTAGGAAAGGAATTTTCTTTATAAAATAATCTGAAGACACCAGAAAGGTAGAGACAGCTTTTAAACTACTTAAACTCTATGGTTGTTATGACATAATCTTAGTTTTGTTGATTTCATAATAACGTGAAGCTGAAATCATGTTTGCGAAAGTAAACCTTGTTCACCAGCAGAGGGCAGAAACGTGTTACTGCTGACCCGCTGTTAGTGCCAAAATGCCTAACCAGCCACAATGACTGGTTTTATTTATTTATATGACAATTATTTATACAACAATATAAATAAAGAACATGTTTCATTACTATGTACCTGACACCCCAACCTGTAGGTGGTAATCAGTAACAGCTGCAGTGAATGGCATCTGCATTCACTTTCCTGTTCCATCTGCTCACCTTCATAATGAGTCTCTATGAAAAATCTGTTAAATTGCACTTGTGTGTGACTTAAGTGCAGGGATAGGGCATCAAAAAGAACAACACACATGCAATATCATGAAAACAGTAGAAAAAAAAGTAATCCTGGGCCTTTATCTTTTAGTAAAGTTTTGTGTAAACGTTTTCGTAGGCTACACCAAACTAAAAATTGCTGCCAGATTTACAAACGTTCCAGTGATCCTGAAGTTCTACATATTTATGTGCGTATGTTGATGAATCGCCTATAAATTGAAAAAACGTTACAGCATTTAGCGACGCCCACAAAACTTCATAAACAGCAAAGCACCCAGAGAGCTGAAAAAGCAAAAGGGACAGAACAGTGAAAGACAAAACAGTGAATCTCAGAGGCAGAAGTGGAAGTTATTCTGCCACACATCTATGATAATTAAAAAAATATATCATTAGCAGCATAAGAGCACCTGAAAAGGTTTAAATCTGAAGACAAATTACAGCAAAGGTGGATTAGGTATGAATTAAATGAAGTGAAAAGAAAATGGTTTTGACATACCAGGCACATCATTTAGGAAACTGCTATGTTTAATTGTTTCTCTGTGACTGGCCAGACATCTCTTACACTGATGTGCATAATTCGACCTCTCTCTAGTCTTGGAAAAGCCAGGAGGGCATGCATCATAAGGAAACATAAAGAATTTGAGAAGAAGCCGTTCATGGCACCCAGCAAACTAGGGATTATCCAGCTCATTGTAGGTTGGATCTTACCACATTGGTCACTTCTCACTCTTTGAAATGTGTCAGTACCAAGAAACCCAAGCACTGATAAATTGGACATGCTAAGGAATGGTACAAGATTGTTCCTCTTTCGGCTGCTCCCGTTAGGCGTCGCCACAGCGGATCATTTGTCCATGTATTTGATTTTGGCACAGTTTTTAAGTCGGATGCCCTTCCTGGTGCAGCCCTCCCCAATTTAATCCGGGCTTGGGACCGGCACTGAGAGCGCACTGTTGCACGCACCCCCAGTGGCAGGGGTTGGCTCCCTGGCCGGGATTCGACCCCTGGCCACAGCGGTGGGAGTGCCGTGGCCTAACCACTCCACTCCAGGGACCCTGAATGGCACAAGATTGTTCTGTCTAATTAGCGCTGGCTCTAAAGTGTTGCACAGCATTTAAAGAACCGATTTATAAGCCAGCTTTCATCCTCTGAAAAAAAAAATCGTACCAATCTCTAAATATCTCTAAATATGTGTTCTCTGACAAACATAGAATGCACTATATCTTCTAGCAGCCTAATGCCAGCTGAGCCGTTGCAGAAACCAGCCTGTTCTCATTTAATAAAGTGCCATTTCTTCTGTGTTCATTGAATGACTAGTCTTTTGTCTTAATTTATGGATTTATGTTGGCTTACTTTCTTTAATTATTATTTTCATATTTAATATTTCTGTAATTAATGCTATTAATATGAAACAAATGGGTTACACAATTTTTTTTTCACTAAATCCGTGTGTACAATTGAAACGTACGATACGTACGTTTTTCTGAAAAGGGTTGTTTTAATGTGTAAATGATCCTACAGAAGATGTACAAATAAATTAATTTGGATCCATCTTGATAAATGAGGCCCACTGTGGGTGAGTTCAAAGCTGGGTGGGTTTTTTTTTTTTTTTTCGCAGTGCTGTATGAAATCGATCCTATAATACAATAAGCTTAGTAAAAGGCAAATATTAAACAAAGAGCAAAATTGCACCAAATATTGTCTGGAAATCTTTTTTTTTTTTTTTACATTTTATATTAGGTTTATTGTCTGTGTTGTGCTGTCAGTCACCAGTTTATTATGTAAGTATTCCCAGTTTGGACACTGGTACATAGAATACTGCAAAATATTCTGAAAACCTCTGTAAATATTAGGTAAATATTCCTTTTTACAGAAGCAAAATGAGAAAAATATTTGAATGCTAACACCATTTAATTCATAGCAATGAAATATATTACAACACATCTGTATTTATTTGTTTTGAATTCACCTCATTGAGATTCAAAGTCAGCAACTGATGTTTTCACTGTTCACAAATACAGATATTTGAGCAGTCAAATTCAATTTAAAAACCATGTTAATTATCCAGGCTCCCTAGGGATAAAGTCAAGCCTGGAACAAAATGAACTAAATGAACTAATATCACTGTCCCTCATTCCACACTGAAGTAAAACTACTTTGAATTTCAAGGAGGTGAATTCAAAACAATTGCAGACGTGTGGTTTTCAGTAATATATTTAAATACTATGAATTTAGTGGTGTATAAATTTAATTACTAATAATTCTAATAATGAGAAATACTAAGAATTTAACATTCAAACCTTTATAGGTGATTATTTCTCTTCATATCCATGTTATTTGGTTTAGTAAATATTAAAAATCAGAAAGTGTACTTTATAAAATAGTTAGGGTTAGGTACTATAGCCTGTTAGTTTTGGCCAATTGGTTTTGGAAATTGATTTTTACACTGTCTGAATCCGTTTGGATTTGTTTTTTTTTAATTCTGTACATATCCCAGGACTACTAACTACTATAGGTTCTTGCCCTCACAGGAAGAGAGATGTTGACTATATGCAAAATTAAGTTGTGCACTCCATCAGATTCAGGGTTAAAGCTTTATGAATGTTTTATGGTAATGACCAATAGCTTTTACAGTCATATAAAAATTAATGTATAGCTTCACAGGGCAGCTGAAGATAATATTCTACCCTGGGCTAGAGCTCTTATTTTACAAATACATATAAATCAACATTTAATAATAATAATAATAATAATATTAATAATAATTCTGAATCACATGACATGAAGGCAATATAAAGCTGCCAAAAGGAGTTTCCCAAACCATAGCTGTTGTGATTTATATGCAGTAACTCATACATACACAAAGAAGACAACTGTTTACATTATTTACACATAACTTAAGTCCATAGTATCAGCAATTACAGGTCAAACATTTCACAGAGAAAATAAATATAAAAAGATATTCACTTATGTTTGTAAAGGGAACGTAAAGGCAAGCAAAATTTTAGCTTTTAACAGGGATAAACATTCACAACACAGCAATACATTGTCAAACTTCTACATCAAGAGTCTCAGAGTAAAGAACTGATCTAGGATCACACTTGTCCATATAATTATAAACAAGAGTAAAGACTGATCCCAGATCAGCACTTGTACACTGAGTAGAGTGATACATGTGGCTCAAGGCCCCCAGGGGTGTAACCAATAGAAAACTCCGTAAAACAGACATTTGTGTTACATTTGTGTCTTAATAACTTCAGTCACACATTTCCTTAACAGAGGCCTTAGCCCTGTGGTCTCTCTTAACGCTCATTTCTAAGGACTAAACAGAAAGCTTAAACTCACTGGCACCAGCCCATTTACAAAGAAAGCTAAAAGGATGCAAAAACATACCTGTATTTCCTCTAGTACTCTGTCAACAAATTAAAGAAATCAGTCCAGCTGACTTAAGACTGCCACATAGTGTTAAATTGCATTCCCACATTTATATTAGAAACCTTTCAAGCTTTTTATGCTGTTTTTCTTGAACAAATTGCACAGACAGAAACTCGTTCAGCACCATAGTGAGATAATAGTCTATGTCAGTTAGAGCTGCAGTGGAATGACAATGTAGAATATAATGTGTGGATGATTGGAGTACGCTGTAGCTCTCATTGGTCATTAAAGAAACACCTTACACTAAGAGCTTAAATTTACTTGATAATAAATAGAACAGCTACTGGACGCCAGTTCATTTCCATAATCCTAACTGGCTCCAGCTTTCTGTTCTTACTAATCACATGAGCAAAGCGTTGCTTTAGTGACTGGGGGTAGACTGAGGTCTGAACACACTGGGATTTCATGGTCGTATCCCATCAATCCGTAAACCTCTGGACTCTCACGTGCGCTGTCCATGTGTGCGCGCTGACATCCATGCAAGTGCAGGGAAAGCAACAGCGGCCGCATTTTGCTCTGATACATGGAGGGAAAACAGAGCGAAATAAGAGATGATGGGTTTAAATTGTGGAGAATTGGCCACCGTGACAAAGTCCTACATTGATGATGTCACAAGGCTTCACGGATGGCGACGAGGCACGCGTCACTTCTTGTTGGCGATGCGGCGTTTCCTGGTAGCCAGCATGTCGTAGAAGGGATCCCTGCTGATGCTGGCTCTGAGGAAACAGATGAAAAGGGAAGCCATCAGTTATGGGCAGAGAGGGAGGGGAAGCGGAGACTTCAACATCTTTGATATGGAAATGCAAGCACATTTCTACAAACCCCTGCTTTAACTAGACAGAAAGAGAGAAAGGTTTGTTCAGTGACCTAGTTAGGTTTCTATGGTTTCTTAAGTTAACCCACCGCCCCTCTGATTGCTCTGATTTGGAATCAATTCATCTGATGAAGTGTGCGTTTTTCGCTCTGGTGTTGAACAGTAAGCACCCTAATGCACTTAAACTGGCCTGAACAGCAGAGATGTGCCCTATAAAGAGTGCTCCAGTTTTCACGGCCCAAAAATCCTGTTAAGATGAGCTACTCCTCTGCTAAGGAGAAAATAATGCTCTGAACTTCATTAGCATTAGCAGACAGATTAGCTGAAATGGATGGCGTGTGAGAGCTGGGTCTGCTGGTGCTCTGTCTCTCCACCACAGTGCTATACGCAATGATTAATCCCCTCACTGATTCTGGCAGGAATAACCCATGACAAGTATGGCGTGGTGGGTGGGGGGGGTGGCGTTGTGCCGTGTGAGGCGTTTCTTTTCCCCCCAAAATCAGCCTGATCACATGCATAAGCAATCCCTTCACTGTGCCCTTAATTGACGCTAGGCACATTAATAAAAATGACTTTTTAAGGAGGCAAATTGGTGGTCATGTTACAGGGGTTCTTACTTTATAGACTTGATCCACTCCTCTTTCTCCTCTGGTGTGGGGGCTGATATCCTGTAGACCACATGGTTCCCTTCCACCACCCGGCCATCAGCCTCCGTCTTACACGCTTTGATCACCTGACCCTTGTGGCTGGGGTTGTAGAGCTCAAAACAGTTCTGGGTAGGAAAGAAAGGTGTTCAGTTGTAGGTATTAGTTACGTGTACCACAAGACTTTAAGACTGTTTTCACACTCAAGTACCCAGGATGCATGTTGGGCTTGTTTTAGGGACTGTGCAATTTTACGTCTCAACATTTTTTAAATTGATGGCAATCTCAAAATATTTGTGTGATAGCAAAAAGCATGATGCTGTGCAAACACAAACAATAAAAATTGACATCTTGCTTGTCTATTGGTCTAGGGCAAATCTAGGGTTAAGAGGTGACACTCACAGGCTTCCTGGGCTCATCCACCTCTCTGATACTGAGGTTCTCCAGAGGGATGATTCCCCGTGGCTCCTTGTCCTGTGACACATCCAGACCACAATACACACAGTCACAAGAAAAGTTTTACTAGAATTGACCCCAGAAATGGACTACTTTCGAAAGTGACTAAATTAACATTGAACAAACACATACTGTAAAGGAAACCTACGAACCGTTGTGTACTCGAAGTAGTACAGGCAGTTGTCGGTTAAAATGAACCACCGCCTCTTCCAGGTTTTCACTCTTCCTCCTGCAGGAAAAAGCACAGGACAGTGATGTAACTAACCACAGTCAAATATACACATGTGATCTGAGACAGTAACAAACTGATCTGTGATCGGCCAGCGTCAGTGGACCATAACAAGGCAAATATTTTTATAACTGTCATTTAATGCATGAGTTTATCGAAAGTCCCAGTGAAACAAAACACATATTTAGGTCGAAATTAAGTTTGATTTTGCATTGTTAACTGTCAAATTACATCTATAAAATAAAGAATTTTCATTTCCAGTGTAACTACTGCTTATTTTCACTCGTGTGTGTGTGTATGCTGGCATGTGTTTCTTGCCTGGACTCTCTCAGAGGTATTTACTATTTCAATTTAGAACAGGTGGTCATGACCGAACTCCCCTGAACTTCTCTGACTTGTATTAGTAACAATTTGGTCACAAAAGCCGACTTAAAGTGTATGTCCTTTAAACTAAAGTAACCTAAAGTAAACAGTT